TATATATACGATCACAGTGCATTTTCTTTCACTTCATCTAAGCGCCTAATTTATTTTTTATACCTATTCTTTAGCGGTTCCACTAATTTGCATGTTCGCCTAATATGCGCTCTGGGGCCGCTGTAGTACCGTAGAGCGAGTCATCACTATCGTTATCTACAACATGGAGTTTTTGATAAGATATCTCGGTTCTTAGTGATGACATCTGATTGTCATTCTCTTCCTTCACTCTCCCTCCGAACCTCTTGACGACTCTTGGTGTTACGAGGAAGATTATTGCGTAAATATTTCCACAGCCAATAATAGCGGATGTGTACAGCACTACGGTCTCCAGCAGCCTAGGCCAATTGTCGGAGTAAACTATAACGTTACAGCTCACATATGACAGAAAAAGAGGGTGAAAGATGTATAGAATCAACACATACTTGCTCATAGCAGCAAAAAACTGCGGGAAGGGTGTATCATTGATAGCCTTCGCCAAAGTGTATGTTACCCAAAGCCCCACCCAGTTGTTTGCCGTGTACATGAATCGATTCAAGCGATCGTCATATGTTCTGATGGAGTTGGCTTCCAGCCAGCCATCAGAATTGATCGGATCTGTCCAGAACATGATCAGTATTAGCATAAACAGTGCGAGTAAGGTCTTCACCCATCGTCTCTCGGGAGTGTTCTTTGTGGGGAATGCGATCGTGAAAAACCCTAACACAAACGGTACTAGATATAGAATACCCACCAGCAAGCCAGTTATGATGGCATTCGAGACCCCGCCGGCCCTCTCGCCCCAAACGTCAGTCATTTTGTCGGGCACTGTCATAGACAGTAAAGACAGTGCGGTGGTTGTAAACGCTCTGGCTTCTCGCAATGATTCGTAGTATGAAGATACAATCATCCACACAAAGTTCACCATCATAATCACAACCATAGTAGCGATGTCTTTAGATATGTCTTGGTCAACCATCGGTAACACGACTGCTGTTGCAGTTATGCCGATCATCAAAAGTATACTCGTCAGCCATGCTCTACCTGAGCGGCTTATTACAGCCCATGCAATTGGCGCAGAGAGATATGTAAACACTACCAGTGTTACCAGAAATCCAAGGTGTTGTATTGGATTCAGCTGGAACGCTGTAGCAGGTCCCACACTATATCGTATCATATTTGACGGGATAACGCAGGATACGACTCCGAAGACTAGCAGACCCATGATGTACTGTTTGTAGACAAATGGAATGAGTGTATAAGTTTACATCATATTTTTAAAAGGATAGGTGTTATTTTCGAGCTCTTCTTGTCAAAATCAGACTGTCGCAAGTCCCTTTGAAGTCGGAAACAACATGTGTTCAGTCATAAACAATTTAATTTTACAGTATAGAACCAGAATAGATCTCTGCACTGCGATATGGCCACAAAGAACTTACCAAAAACCGCCAGTATGACGATTCTATGACATGCTCAACTCTCCTGAATGATAAGAAAAGTGCGGCACCACTGGCGAAGAAGAAGAACATAAAGCCACTCATCATCCGGCGCATCATATACTCTTCAATTTGTATTGCAGCTTCAGAATGTTGTGCGACACTGTATCGACGACCAAATGGTATCGTTTGCGTTGCATTAGTGCGATCGTAGTCACAGAAGTTGTACTCGGGAAATTTCGGATCAGGTCTACCCGGTGTTCCTGTGTAGTTTATGGCATGTACAATAGGCACTGCCAAACAGGCTATAATTCGCATTGTGTCTATCCAGTACACTCTGCCAATGTTGGTTGTAACAGTCTTTGGGACCAGCGGTAAATATGATTTCCTACTGTTTGCGGGTAATATATCGTCGAGATGTGTGCGAGTATTTATTGGCGATAGAGGGTCAATATCTACAATATCGTCCATGTTCTTTTTGCTTGAGGTATTCATTAGTTCACCTGCCATATTCGCAGATTATATCTAACAATAGATATATAAAGCTCTCGAGAATAAACAGGCTTTACTTAAAAGGTGTAGTATAAATATAGTATTGTCGCTCATGACTACACATTTACAATACATAAAATTCACAGTATCTATTTAGATTTTAGGCTGCTCATAAATAAATGTATTAGAGTACAACAAATGCGCTCAGGATCAAGAATATGATACCAGGCAGCCAGCAGGCAGGCTCCAACCAATTTCTGTTTAAGCTTCAATCTGCCGTTCATGTCAATGGTCCAAATTCCAAAATCAAAAGTGAGCAGAACTCAGTCAATACTCAAGTACTCAACTCAACTCAAAGCCTCATAGCAGGTCCAGGAGTGGTCCAAGTCATTGAGTCAAGAAGACCAAAAACATCGATGACTCATGTGAAATTGTGGTCAGACGGTTGTGTGTCCTGTAATTGGATGAGAATACCTTACGAGAACGTCGTACAAGCTCTCAGTCTCAGCTCTCAGTATTAGTCAATAGTGAGTGGCAGCTTTGAGCTTTCGCAGCTCTCGCGAACATGGAATAAATATTTACAATATATTATAAATACATATCAATTATCAAACGTATGAATCTGTAATCTGAGCCAGAATCTGAGGCTTCTTGAAAACCATCGATAGGAGTCGGGAACTCGGGAGTCGGGACTCTACTCTTTAGAGTGAGAGAGAGAGAGAGTGGCCGAGGGCTATTTAGTGAGTAGTTGGCCGCATTGCAATTAATAATATTTAAACAATAAAAAACAAAAATAAACTATGGCAAATTTGAAATTTCAACCGTCCATATTTCAATTTTATTTATGCTTTTTAAAAAACAAAAAAAACAAAATAAACGGCAAATCTAGAAAATAAAGGCCTGGCAGGCTGGCGGCTGGCGGTGAACCGTGAGACTTGTGGGAGACTGTGAGTGGCAGCCGGCAGGTCCTGCTGCGATATGTATGATTGTATGTAAAAAAGATGATCTAATATAGAAATTATTCTATTGACTGAATTTACTCTTTATATGTACTTTTTATTATTATAAAATAGCTTCGTTGTAGTGCTTTAATAGTATTTTTGCATTGTTTTTCTATTTTTATTGAAAAAACATATTTGGGCTTGCCGAAGTCAGGAACTCGGACTCTGGTCTCAGGGCTCTCAGCCTCTCAGGAGTCAGGACGCAGGACTGATGAGGTGACGAGGTCGGTAGCACCGCGGCAATATAAATATATTTATGACTTTGTGTAGGCCCTCGCTCATTGTTTTTACCCGGGGCCCCGAGGCTGGGGGAGTTCAGTTCGACGAAGTTTTCACACAGGGGCTTCTATTCTTTTCGATAGTTGATACTCAATAGTTCTTGACCACATTGCATGGCCATGTGAACTTGTGAAGAAATAGTGATGGTTGTAAATCGCGCTTGTCCAAATTTTTGGATGGAAAGACAAAGGTACTTGAGTGTTATAAGTGTTATTTTCCTAGCCCTTTTTGAAATAAACAGAATACAGCTGTAAATCGACTGATATGCGCAATCAAATACCAGCTATGCTCATCAATAATTGAACGAGGAGTACGTAGATATATGGGTCAGTATTCGGTACTGGTACTTTGAAAGCATCAACCATAGTTGATAAACAACCCCGGATAGTCCGAATGTCAAGGTATTCAATGCAAGACGAGAATATAAAAAGTGACAAAAATGAATCACTATACCGGATGGAGAGTGCAACATCTTATACTTGAAATGCATCGCCATTAGTTTACTATGGAGAATGTGCTACCTGTTGTCTGCGTCGAGAACGGTTGTATATGCGATTACCTTGAGTGTCAACATCAACAAACCAATCTGCTGCATTTTGTCGATCCCAAAGAATACTCGGGGAACTTGATAGCCTATATGCCTACCTATCATACTGACCGTCTGTAAGCCATATACTACTACTGGTTTATGCAAGGATATGAGGCATAGCTGGAAATTTAAGATGTGCCACTCCGTGGCAGACGTTCTGTTAACTACGTACAGTTTATTCACTAAGCATCCGCATTAATTTGTAGTAGGCTCACTCGTTTTTGTCTTCTTTTTCTTCTTTGACGGGTCGTTGTCATCTTTCAGTGAAGGTGGCAGTAGCTGGGTGGATCGTGCGAGGGCAACGCCTGCTGTACCACCTCTGTCGTCCCCACCAAGACCACGTAGTTGCCACTGGTCATATATCTACAGTTCAAATAATGGAATAGTAAACTATATTCAGGGTAGAAATCATCATTGGTCGTAATTTTTTAAAATCGGATTTGAATTTCAAAAGCGAAAGGCTCTGCTTTCAAATGCTCCGTTTAACCTGATGATGTAGCATATGGCAATTCAGATACCAATCTCAGTGTTGGTAGAGAAAAAAATAAATACGAAAGTGAAGTCACTTCAGATGTTGTCACAAATCTTTCAGCGTCATGTTACACGTGGTACGTCACAAACATTCCGTCGAAGCTTCATATGTCGCAAAATTCTATTCCATATAGTGATAGAAGGAACGAAGATTGGTGTTCTGATCTTACCTTTTGCGTGTGCTTATCTAGTTCAATATACCAGAAGGTGTTACAGGTGGACGGAACATCTCGCCTCCTCTCTTTCCTTGTAGCCTGTACAATGGAGTGCGTGGAAATGGTTGGATTCAGATTCAGATTCAGCTTAAGATTCATAGTCAATGTGTATCATAATGTATCTTCTTACACACGGCACCATGAGCACGATGGCACAACAATTGGTCCCAGAGAGTTTCGTATAAAGCACGGGATCAAATACGTGCGAAAGATTCATGTTGATAACAATGTACACTCTACATCTTACTATTTGGAACAGTCATACGCAACACGTTTATTCGGAGCTGGTTACATATTTTGAACATACATAACACTACATACATGACTTTGTAAAATTAGAACGCGGGTACGTACATCAGATAAACAAACAGATATTTAGACACCAAGCATACTCACAGGCTCACTCGCAGGCTGAATCCCGTCAATTAATACATTGTCATTATACCTTAGGAGCCGTGAACGTATAGTTTTTCCTTGGGGCTAAGTACATGGGGTGGCAATCATGGCCTTTTTCCTCCATCGCTGGTTTGTACCAGCTGAAGGTGTACACGCTGGTGGGTAGCAGAGCTAACCACGGCCTGTCAGCGTTGCCATGCAGACAGAAATCTATTATCCTGTGTGTGAGTGTGTGTGTAAGATTAGGTGAATATGATTAATGTTCAGCGAATATACATTCTACAGTACACGTATGCTATAATAGGTATATTCCCGAGCATCTATGCGTGTGTGAATATATATACATGCATACATACATATACATATATATATATTTA